AAACAAGAGGTTGTGGCACAAACCAGAATTTACCATTCATATTGCAATCTAAATAATGTATAGACATTGGGATAGAAACATTCTTAAGAAAGCTCTGTCATGACCTATTTCAGGTTTAGCTTGTTTCACAGGGGATGATATGGAAATTTGAGTCAAGCTTTTTGAATTTCCTGATCCCTGACTTCTTTACTCACCAGTCTTAGAAGCTGCTACATCTGGAGCAACCAGACCAAACCTCAGTTCCCAAAGGGCACTTCACAGAATTCACAGCATCACTGAGCTGGAAGAGACCTTAAAGATCATCAAGTCCAACCTGCACCCTAACACCTCAACTAAACCATGGCACTGAGTGCCACATCCAGTCTGTTTTTAAGCACATCCAGGGATGGTGAATCCACCACCTCCCCAGGCAGACCATTCCAGAACTTTATCACTCTTTCCGTGAAAAATGTTTTCCTAATATCCAATCTATGTTTCCCTTGGTGCAGCTTGAGACTGTGTCCTCTGGTTCTGTCAGCTGCTGCCTGGAGGAAGAGACCAACCCCACCTGACCGCAACCCATTTTCAGGGAGTTGTAGAGAGTGATAAGGTTCCCATCACACCACACTCACCCTTTCCGACCTAGAGCAGCCCTATGAAGCCAGCTCTACGTGCCACAAACAAACTTAGGACACAGAAATCAGCGTGAGCTGGGAAATTTCTGCAGTGCTAGAGGTACACTGGCACATGCTGAGGGTCTCTGGGGACTGTGGGAGGCTTGAGAGGCAATTCCATGGGAGGAAACAATGTGAAGCCCTCCTGTATTTCAAACAGAGCTGAATGAAACAGCAATACATGACTTGAGGCAGCCTGCAATCAAGCTGGGGGGTTTGCTTTTCTCTGCTCCAAACTAGGGCTGCAGCTGCTGCATTTTGCAGCTGCCTCTATTAAAAAAGCTGAAAGGGTTTTTTTCTAACTCAACAAAGAGACTGAGACAACAGACTAACCTCTTTAGGCACAGCAGCCACAAGAGTAAAAAAAATGCTTGGGGATTTTTGACTGCTGCCATGGAGACATAATTTCTTGGTTAATAAACAAGAAAAAAAAAATATATAAATTTCTTCATCAGCATTTTAACCTCTTAAACAGAAATAGTTAGTCACAATTTTGGGTTAATGCATGGGCCAGCATTATGTACAATCAGGTAATTTAGCCAGGAAAACAGCCAGAGGAGGGGAACTCCAGGGGACCCATCTGAGGTGGGTAAAATGGTAGCAGGGACTCAGAGCTGACACATGCAAGTGCTTGCACTTTGGAAGAAAATCTAAACTACTCCCCACTGCCCAATTAGCTGATGTGTTGCAGTCATGGCTGTGGCATTGATCACAAATAGCTCCTCACTCACTTGTGCCTCTCCTGTCTTCTGCATCACCCTATTGTCTCTCTGTCTTCACCTGAGATTAAGAACTCCCTTGAGATGGAAGCTGTCTTTTTAGCTACTGAATCCAAATAAATAAAATAAATGAATACATTCCTGAATACTAAAGCAGGCAACAATGGAAAACCTTTCATTCCAGTTATCTTAGCAGAAAGAAACTGCTCAATACACACTGGCTGAAACAGTTGAAAACATTTTAAATACTACAATATCAACTTTAAATACTTATCCAGAATGTTCCCAAAACCCTATCTCAATACTGTACAGTTTAAAAATTCCTGTGAAGAGCCTGGCACCTGCTCTTTAGCGAGAGAGGTCGTATTTCATACAGATCACTCCTGTATGCTTACAGTTCCCCATGGACAATGAAGTTTGATGCAGGGATCCTGGCCTACAGAGAGTCTGGGAATTAGAGGTGCTCCAACAGAACTTCAAATCAAAATCATGTAAGTTTACAGATTTAAAGGGATTTTTTTCTTTCATTGATGGAGGTGTTAGTGGGGTGAAAAAAAAATTATATGGAAAACATATGGCCATCCCTTAATTCATTTTTTTATTTAAGGCAGGCAGGATTCTTTACTACACAGTTAGATAATTCACTAGGCAATGAGAACTGATGAAGGGTTTGCATGTCTAAAAGCTTAAATAATTTTTACAGTTATATTTGTTGACCTATGAAAAAGACATCTCTCCAGAAATTCATAAACAACTCACACCATCACAAGTATAGTAAAGTAGCAATAAAGTAGCTTCCTTTCATAGGAGGAAAATTATCACCTCCACTCAACTCAGTGGGGAAAACAAAAATCTAAACCACAACTGACAGGTATCTCCTGTGATGAAGAAGAGATGTGGCATTCACAAGGAAGAGGGGGTGTGTGGGTGTGTGTTTTTTCCTTGAAGCTGGCTGCTTCAAGGCTGGCTCCTTCAGTAGCAATAAAGACCTTTTGTGTGATTGTTGGAGCCCCAGAAGCATGAATTTGGATATTAGAGCAATGTCTGTGTTCTTGCATTCAAATGCTGACTAGAATTTCCCCTGTCTAAGCTCATACCAGCCTGATATAGGAGGAGTTTTTAAATGTAACTTCTAATTCTCCTCTCTTCCTCTGTTGCTCTCACTCCCTTTTTTAATTACATTCAGGATGTTTTCCTATTGATTTACTTGTTTTTGTATTTAGATGCAGGGATTAGAAATTCTTTTTATATGGCAATTCAGTTTTCCATTAAAAGAAGCCTCTCATGCTATAAACCCAGGGGGAACTGAGGAGGAGATTTTGATGCAGGGAGCAGGTGGAGGCAAGATGGTATTTGGAGATTGCATTGCACTCTGCTCTATCTCAGCATCCTCTGCTGTGTAATTCATTGCTCTCTGCCACAAAAGCCACACTCCTCTCTTGTGAAGGCAACTGTATTTGCCAAGTGGTCAGGATAGATATCAACAGCACCACGGCTCAGATGGGCAGGGCTCCTGGCTTAGTCATATTTCTATAACACAGGAAAAAAAAGCCAAACCCCTTGGAAATGTACAGATCATCTTTTGATACACAGCTGAAGTTGCATTCAGTTTGTGATCCATCTGGGGGCTCAAAGAGTCTACAAAAAATATCTAAAGAAAGCAAACCTCTTACCAGGAGGCTTACATTCATTCTGCAAAGACAAATCCTCCTTTAAAAATTTTCTGGGTCTCGAAAACAAAAAGAAAATATTGAAAAACACCAATTTAAATAATGGAAAGATTCAGGGGCCTGAATGTGCAAATAGAACAGGAAATCCCAAGAAAAGGAGTATTTCTCTGGCTTATTTCATACACTTAGTATCTATTTGCATTTCTACAATGTCCTTTGCAGAGAAATTCATAGATGCTCTCCAAGATTCCACACTCCCCTGTCAAGTAAAACATGGCTTATTCCTTCATTTTCCAAGCAGAAAATAAGGTTTAGAGCCCAGGAGATCTACGTACTAGCTCTCACCCTGAGCTTTCCTCACAGACTTAGGACAGAACCTGAGAAATTCTAACTTCTCAACCTCTCTGAATCTCCAGGCCCCCACTGGCCCCTATTTCACTTGAGACCAGCTGCAGAAATGTTCCAGAACATACTCCCACAAAGCACTGAGTTTTCCCAGCTGACCAAGTGCTGGATGCTTTCAATTGTATTGATGATTAATTACATTTCTATCACTTTGGGAAGCCTCCAAAAGGGGTGCTGCTATTACCTTTCTGCAGAGCTCAGGTGATGCTGCAAGCTCAGGATAAAGACAAGGTTTGCCTGTTTGTTACATTATTTATGCAGGGCAGATTGTTTGGCAATTACATTTAAAGTACAATCACTGCGCCATCTGTACTTGCTATGTAAAGAGGCAAAAGTTTTTTAAGGCATTAATACCTTGAAAAGTACCAGGGTAAGTGGAAATGACTGTTCTCTCTTATTAGCTCCATGGTTATTTATACTTTTGCAGATTACCATGGTGCACTGCAATTAGGCTTCTTAAGTACTGTTCAAATTGAGAAGTTTCAAGAGCTCTACTGAATAATTAACCCTTAAATACATTTACAGGAATAAACCTTCAGCAAATGGCCAAAGCCTGCTCCAAACAGAGGCTTTTAAATCACCTGTGAAGAAAGAAGTACAGGAGACCATCTGCCAGGAAGGGCTCACACCCAAGCAAAGGCTACAATGCACTGACCATTCCACCAACTACACCTTGAGCAGGTTTCACAATAGCTGTGATACACCAGGTGAATCTAACACAAAGCACTTGGTCTCACCACCCCTGGCTGCCTTTTTCTCTTATTTTTTTTTTTTTTTAATGCACCTAGGGTAAAAAACACCTGATAGCAATTCTGTTAAAGGCATACCACTCCACAGGCAGGATAAAACAATTTGGTGATTTCAAATATCAAGGAAGTGACCTATTTATAGGGCTAAGTTTGGGGACTGAGGGGATTTTAAGTTATTTCTTTATTTTAAATGCAGACACACACTTCCAAACACACACTCTGTTCAGAAGCGTTTCCCCAGGGCAGGACAGTCCATCTCCCATGCCAGACTAGGAACATGGCAGCTATGGACACCATCCAAGTACATCCACAGTGGAGAAGACACTGTGGCACCTCCAGTCCTTCAGCAGCTACTCTCCTTACAGCCCAACACATTCAAGTCACTACCAAGATGCCCATCTTAGCTCACAGGGATGAGGAACAAGGATCAGCTAAGATTATATCATACACTGTTTTCTGCCTTCTCAGACACAGTTCTAGCAAGTGTGTGCCCATCTATAGAGCCTGTTCTCATTGCCAGTCTCACAGCAGAGAGAGGAAGGAAGGGACTTGTTTAAGGACACTCAAAGGTGAGAAGGAAGCCAAGCTCCTCTGTGTGTCAGGGAAGTGCCATCACAGGATGAAACCCTCTTGTTTGCCGACCCCGCTTCATTAAAGAATGTGTTCTAATCTTGCACCCCTTTTCCAAAGAGCAGCTGCATTTGTCTCAGATTGTTTCCCAGCTCCTCCTGTGAGGAGCTCAGACACTGCCCCATGCCCCCAGCCCAGGTAAGGCCCAGACACAGAGCTGTCATTTCCACCTACCTCCACAGTGAGCTCTCCGTAACACTCCCCAGGTTGAAGTCGTAGAGCTTGGTCAGAATGAGAATCACCTAGAGAGGGGAAAGGGAGGGAGTGAGAGAAAAAGGGAAAAGAGGAGAAAAAAAAGGTTGATGTTAGATTTTATAACAATACAAAGGGCATCTGAAACCACCTAAAGGGGAGCTGAGCATTTATCCATTAAAGTTGCAGTATTATAGGATAAAGTAGGTTTAAAAAACAAAATGGGAAATCATTAGCTTAGTGCATTGTATAACCAGTAACACTTATTTTAATCCCAAAATGTTTTGCATTTGAAATAAAACATGCCACCAGGAATTAATCAGACTTTGTGAGTTGACCTCTCTGCAACTATGATTATTCAAATTCAGGGATGGAATCAAAATGCAGCCTTGTTAATTCAATAGTTCAATCTAAAATTACAGTCAATTTCTTTTGTCTCTCAACATTCTATCATTAATTATTCAGTCTCCACAGAAAGCACTGGCAAGTTTTTTTATGTAGATCCCCATCCACCAAAACAGTCCATCTTGCCTACAGTCAGCTTTTTTTTCTCCATCTGCTGTCATTGACTCCAGAGCACGGGAATTCCTACATGCCATCACCTTCCCACAGTGGTAAGAGGGACACGGAGTGTGACATTCTGCTTATGAACTGAGCAAGACAAACCTTCACATGGATCTTTAGTGCCCAAGGACAGTCAGAGGCCTCAGGACTCACTGACTTTCTGGAGAAAACACTCCTGAGTCATGCCCCTGCAAAACTGAGGTTGGGGGAGAGGGAGTTGAGCAGTACACAGGGGATCATAGAGGAATATACTTTTCTCTGATCTACCTGGTGCTGTGACCTCAGATTTCACAGGTAAATGTAATCCTCCTAGCTACAAGCTACATTGCCCAATGTCCTTCTCTCCAGAAAGGCAGTTATGCATTCTGATAGCTTGGGAGCCTCTGTGCAAGCTCCCAGGCTCACGTGGGATGAGGGAATAGAGGGAAGGTAAGAGCATTTGAGAATCTGCTCCTTGCCTTTTTAGCATAACTAATGTCATACAGCTCATTCCCTTGGATTCTACAGGACCAGCCTCAAGGAAGAGCTCCAGGGCACCTCTTCATTTTTGTTTTGCATCATTTTAACATTTCAGCATCATTTCTTCCTTGCAGGATTCAAGCATAGACCAGCTTCCCTCACATCTGCTCCAGCTGTGAGAGAGAGCAAAGTTTAAAGCTTTGCAGAAAAATGCCAAAGGATTAATCAATATCACAGCTGCTGCAGCACTCGTTTACTGTCAGCGTAATACCAGGAAAAAACCTGTTCAAATTGTGAGGGACCTTGGTACGTGACTATGCACTCAGTGCCCATCTTAATGACTTTAGAATAGATGCTCCAAGCATTCCTTCCTCTCCTGGATTCACTTTTACCACCCCTTATTGCATTTTTCCCTTTATTTCCCCATGCAGAGACCTTTAGGAAGAAGATAATAGCCAAGCTGCTTCTAGCAGGGTGTGAAAAGAAACCTGCCAGGTAGATTTGAGTCAGCATATGCAAGTCCATGTCAGCTGAAACCAACACTATCCTATGGGGAAATAAGGCTAACATCCTTTTTAATGCAGCCCAAACCCTGCACACATCTTCCCATACACAGGGAGAAGAGCCAGCTGCAAGCTGTAGCAACCAAGGTTTGGATGGTTCCTGTGCCTCCACCCCTTACACCCAGCAGGGCAGCCTTCTCCCAGCTAAAACCCAATGAGAATGACATTTTTAGGATGTTCCCAACAATCCCACAGGCACTCAGCCAGCACTCCTCTGAGGACTGTCTAGGAAGTCATGCACTATAGCACAAGCCCTGCCCTGCCCTGCCTGGAATTACACCCCTCTTATTGCTCACAGCTGGGATGAGGTTTCACAAAGCTTTTGAGTTTCAAAGTCTAAGCACATTGAAGACAGCTGAGTTCAGTGGATCCTGGATTTATTCCTAAACATTCTAAATAAAATCTCTGTCTCTTGATCAAATTTCAACAGATTCTACCTTATTTCTACCCTAAATTGCAATTACAACTAAAGGCAGCATCCATAATCTCCCAGCTCTTTGTGTCTCTCCCCAGATCTCCCATGCCCCATATTTTTGCATACATCTCTTATCTATTACCACCCTGCAAATCCCAGGATAACAACAGCTTTACAGAAGTGGGCTGAATGCTACGCAGCTTCTGGGTATAAATTCATAGTAAAAACATGTTGCTTAGTATGACTTTTCTGGATTTTTGCCTGGGATGACTAACATCCATCTCTATTTGGTGATGCATGGAAAGCACAAGCACCCCTTGAGCAGTGTCTTACACACAGTCCCAGGAAATAGAAGGAATTTCCTGGAGCAGTGGTAACACCTACAGCAACCTGACTCTAAAATCACTCACCACAGGAGCCCAGGACAGGCAACATTCCCACACCACTAACCCAGGCAGCTTCCACTCTGCTCCCAATTGCTTTTGAGAAAAAACACCCCAGATTCAGTAAATATAACTCTTGCAATGGTTTGGGAGTCTGCAAACCAGGGAGGATCTGAGAGTCTGAACACACAGGCTTCCCAAGAAAAGCTGCAAAAGCACTTTCCCCCTACACAGTGCCACACAGCAAACTCAGCTGCTCAGGGAACACCATGGGGCTGAGACACAGACAAGAGCCTGAGAGGCAGGGCTGGATCCTGAGCTGTTCCATGGGCTGTGTTTGACTCAGTTCTGCAGAGGAAACATCAAACCCTTCCAGAGGATTTTCTGAGGCACCATCAGGTTGCCCCAGCCAGGCTAAGAAGGAGCATGAGGCAGGGGCAGATGTGGGAAAGCACCAGATTTTCTGACATTGTGTTGTTTGAACGCTTTAGTTGAAAAAGGATGGAACAAAATAGAAGGAAAATTGGACACATTTTACAAAACTGAATTCTGACAAGAAAAAGAAAAATTAAAAAGGGAAAGACCTTCCTTGACTCAGGCTGAGACACTTGATTCCAATTTCTGCTTTGTAGTCAAAGAAGCTCAGCTTGTTTTTGTGAACACTAACAAATTACTTTCTTTCCCATGACAGTGTAATTTTGCATGAAAATCTTGATGTTTTTCATTTTAAAAGCTGAATTCTACTGAAAACTGGAGATTTTACAATTAAGGCACTATTTCAAAACAAAAACATTTTCTTCCCTTGAACTGAGAGAAATCTGGAATTGCCACCCCATAGAAAATGTCCACTTTGCAACATAAATTAAAACATTTTGCTCTGAGGAAAAGAAATACAAATGTATTAAGTTCCAAGCAATTCAGAAACAGCAAAAACTTACACTTAGGCATTATTTAATCAAAATAAAGAAAACACCTTTATAATGCCAAATTAAGCTGTTTCTATTCATCAAACCAATCTTTCTACAATTAATTCCAAGTCAGCTCAATGTCAAACTGCATTTTGCTATGGGATCATACTTTTCACGTCAGGAAATGCAGCTCAGATATGAAATTTCCTCATCTCCTGCAGGCTAGGCTCCACACACTACACTGTGCTTCCCAGGACACCCCAGGGCAGGTGTCCCTTGGGACACCAAGCAGCTCAGCTGGTTGAGAATGAAAAAACAGGGAAAGAGTCTGCAGGACAGAATGTGGAAATAGGGAGGCTGAATTACAGCTCCCTTAAGGCAATACAATCCCTCCAGAAAATGCAATTTCAAGCTGAGCTTACACGAAACTTAATGACCTGAATAATTTAACAAATTGTTTTGGTTTTGTAGACAGAAATGGGAATGGAGAAAGGATAATCAGAAAAAATATATTTTCTTTGGAAAGAAGTGCTGTTCCAGTTCTACAAGAATTTTCTTATGTGCTTTATTTTTCATACATGCATCTCCACATTGCATATAGGTTGGGGTTGTTTTCACTGTCTACTAAATACCCTGCTTTAAGGCTTTTATAAAAAATGCCAACACTTGTCAATCATTTACCTTCAATGGTCTATACTTCAATACAGATTAACAGCCTCTGGCACAGAGGAATCTTGACACAATGCTCCATAGCATACTAAACCACTAAATCCAGATTTCATGTGATGGACCACTTCTTTAAATTAAGAGACAGCAAGTGTCCAAAACTGTCTAATTCAACAGCCTTGAGTCTTAACACAACTTGGCTGGTATGAAAGCAGAAAAATTACAACTAGGAATATTAGCCCACATTTCATTCCATCTCAAAAACACATTCCTGAAGGGATCCCTATTGTTCAGGCAATTATCAGGAATCTCCAAGCCCACAAATCACAAAAGTACTCAGAAGCTTTTCAGAGTGTTTGGTGGTGTAACAATCTTCCATGCCAATAAAATTTTACTACGAAGGAAAATTACTTCAGTTCATTAAACCCAGCTCTAGATCTTGCCAATTCTAAACTGGCAAAGTGCTTTGCATATACCCCAGAGTGGAATATATAATGCCTGTTTCCCACAAATTAAGAGTGCAAAGGCACTGCAGCTCCTTCAGCAGTTGACAATGAACTTCAGAACAAGTGAAAAGCACCACACCAAGGCTGTGTGGAGACCCTGCACTCCTGTGTAAGGGGACACTGACATTAGAGACATGAAAGGGAAGAGCACAGCAGCCAAAGTAGGTGTCAGACAGACATGTGAAAGGCCAGCTCTGATTCACTTCATGAGACATCTCTTCTCTGAGTGATCCTGCTGTATCAGCACAGAGATTAACACAACTCATCAGTAGCCCTGTGCACATATTTGCCAAGTGTAATTAATAAAGAGTACAGGGATGAGCAATAGGCAGCACAGAGCACAGCAGAAAGAGGGCAGACAAATTTACATGTGCAAAATGAGAGCTCTCCACTCACTTGCTCTGGCATGCTGGGGTCTCTGTCTCCTGCCCACAGACATATTTCCATGATGCTTGCAACATTTTCTACCCTCCAAGCCAACCAAAGGAAGCTTGTCTGCAATGTCCATCTGCCATTCCCCAATCCATATGAGAACTACAGCACCCAAGAAGTAAATTTCAAATGTGAGCAACCACAGGATAGTGTG